CAATCTTATCGTATGCTCCCAAGTGACACCTAGCCAATCTAGGAGACACCACTCTCCAAGAAGTAACAAATGGTGTGTTGATGATGAACTCCTTGCTCTTGTGCTTCAAATGATAGTCTCCCCAACACTCAACTCTCTCTCTCACAGGATTTGGATTTGGTGGAAAGAATATTTGAGTGGAAAGCAACTTGGGGAAGGCTAGAGATCAAGATTCATATGGTAGGAATGGAATATCTTGGTCTCAACACAAGTGTAGGTGGTTCTCTCTCAGAAAATGCAAGTTGGAAGTGTAGGTTCGTTCTGATGGCTCTCTCCGCGAATGAAGAGGAGGTGGATGGGTATATATAGCCTCCACACAAAATCTAACCGTTACACACAACTTGCCAAACTCGGTGGGACCGAATTGAGAAACTCGGTCGGATCAATTCAGCAAATCTAGTGACCGCTAGGATTTTCGGTGGGACCGACATGCAACTCGGTAGGACCGATATGGTTAGGGTTAGGGCATAACGTGATCTCGGTGAGACTGATTACACAAACTCGGTGAGGCCGATTTTGGTAATAAGCTAACCAGAGAGTTGGTCAGGTAAACTCGGTGGGACCGGTTCGCTCATTTCGGTGAGACCGAAATGTTACGATAAGGAAACAGAGAGTTTACATTGCAATCTCGGTGGGATCGAAAGGTTACAAAGGGAAATAGAGAGATTACAATCCCATCTCGGTGAGACCGAGATCCCTATCGGTGAGACCGATTTGCCTAGGGTTTGTGGCAGTGGCTATGACATCTGAACTCGGTGGCGCCGGATAGAAAGAATCGGTGGGGCCGAGTTTGCCTTTTGGTTTAGGTCATATGTGGATGTGAGAAAGTAGTTGAGGTCTTTGGAGCATATCACTAAGCACCTTGAGCAAGTAAGCCATTAAGCAACACCTCATCCCTCCTTGATAGTATTGGCTTTTCCTATAGACTCAATGTGATCTTGGATCACTAAAATATAAAATGTAGAGTCTTGAGCTTTGAGCTTGAGCCAATCCTTTTGTCCTTAGCATTTTGAGGCGTCCACTTTTCTCATCCATGCCATGCCAATCATTGAGCTTTCCTGAAATATTCATCTTGAAATAGCATTAGCTCAATGAGCTATATGTTGTTAGGAATTACCAAAACCACCTAGGGATAGTTGCACTTTCAATTTGAGGCTCCCATCACACGTCTTTTTGGCACTAACCCTGACTACAAATCACTTCGTGTATTTGGTTGTGCTTTGTTGGCCCAACCTTCGTCCATATAATGAACGCAAGCTTGCATTCCGTTCCAAAATATGGGTATTCCTTGGATATACTCCAATTCACAAGGGAGTTAAATGCCTTGATGTTTCCACCGGTAGGGTTTATATCTCTCGAGATGTCGTATTTGATGAATCTGTCTATCCTTTTGAATCTCTTCATCCTAATGCCGGAGCAACTCTCAAGAAAGAAATACTCCTTCTACCACCACATCTCCAAAGCATTGATCATGGGGGCAATAATTATACTGACCCAAGGATCATGCAGCAGAAATCGGTGAAGAAAATGATCAAAACCTTGACGAAAACGATATGGTATTTCATGTGCCAAAAGGAGACAAAGCAGACACGGAGCACGAGGCAGATCTTGCGCAGCCCAGAACTCCTGTGCGCCAGGCCGCCTCGGATCGGGCGCGCAGATTCGCGCCAGATCGCGTGCCAGGCAGGAGCCCGCGCAACCAGTTGGAGGGCGACACGTCACCACATCCGGACGGCGTGCCGCGTCCCGCACCGCGTCCCACGCGCGGGCTCGAGACAGCGACAGCGACAGGAGGATTTGGGTCCGCTTCGGGATCCTTGACCCACGCGCATGTGCCGGCCAGCAGCACGCGATCTTCTACGGCTGCTTCTTCTGATGAATCGCCCACACTGCAGGCTACACAGTCTGAACCGGGATTTGCTGCGGAAAGTGAATCTGAGATGTCTCCAGGATCCTCTACGGCTGGTTCTGCTGCCTCATCTCCTGTTGCACGACGAAATCAACCAACTACAGTTTCGCGTGTCATGACTCGGCTATAGAAAGGTATAAAAAACCCAAAGGTTAGAACTGACGGCACTATAAGATATGGCATGTTGTGTATCACAGGAGAACCAGCAAAATTAGAAGATGCATTAGAGGATCCAAGGTGGAAAAGTGCAATGGATGAAGAATATTCTGCTCTCATGAGGAACAAGACTTGGCATCTTGTACTTGAGAAAAGAGGTAAAAATATTATTGACTGTAAATGGGTCTACAGAATCAAGAAAAAGGCAGATGGCACAATTGACAGGTATAAAGCACGTTTAGTTGCAAAAGGATTTAAACAACATTATGGTTTAGACTATGAAGACACCTTTAGTCCTGTTGTTAAAGCTGCAACTATTAGGCTTGTACTAGCTATTGCTGTGTCCAGGGGATGGATCTTGAGACAGCTGGATGTTCAGAACGTGTTTTTGCATGGTGCTCTGGAAGAGGAGGTTTACATGAGACAACCACCTGGGTATGAAAGTAAGAAAACACCTCATTATGTGTGTAAGCTTGACAAGGCACTTTATGGCTTTAAAAAAGCACCAAGGGCATGGTATTCAAGGTTGAGTTCTCAGTTAAGATATCTTGGTTTTGCTGCATCCAAGGCTGACACATCACTCTTCATTTATAACAAATCAAATACAACTATATTTGTGTTAATATATGTTGATGATATCATAGTTGCAAGCTCTTCTCAAAGTGCTACTGATGCTCTTTTGCATGATCTAAGTTTAGAGTTTGCTTTGAAGGATCTTGGTGATCTACACTTCTTTCTAGGTATTAAGGTTAAGAAGATTCAAGATGGCATAGTATTAAACCAGGAGAAATATGCTACTGAACTTCTAACTTGTATGGGGATGAAGGACTGTAAGCCCTCACCCACACCATTGTCCTCTTCAGAAAAACTTTCAGCTTTTGAAGGAGAACCACTTAAGGAAGAAGAGAGCACAAGATACAGGAGTGCAGTAGGAGCCTTACAGTATCTGACACTGACAAGACCAGATATATCCTTTGTTGGTAACAAGGTTTGTCAGTATCTTCATGCACCTACTACTGTACACTGGACAGCTGTTAAAAGAATTGTATGATACATAAAGCACATTGTGAGTCTAGGTCTTCAATTCAGACGCTCTAATTCTTCCCTGGTTAGTGATTTCTCTGATGCTGACTGGGCAGGATGCAGTGATGACAGAAAGTCAACTGGAGGTTTTGCAGTTTTCTTTGGCTCTAATCTTATTTCTTGGAGTGCTAGAAAACAAGCCACAATGTCCAGGTCAAGTACTGAAGCTGAGTACAAGTCACTGGCCAATGCTACTGCTGAAATCATTTGGTTAGAATCATTGCTTAATGAGTTGGAAATCAAGCAGCATTGTGTGTCTTGTTTGTGGTGTGACAATTTGGGAGCCACATATCTCTCTGCGAATCCAGTCTTTCATGGTAGAACCAAGCACATAGAAATTGATTTTCATTTTGTACGAGAAAGAGTTGCAGAGAATAAGTTGGACATACGATTCATTCCTTCCAAAGATCAAGTAGCAGATGGTTTCACTAAAGCCTTGCCAGTCAAGCTGTTTGAAGAATTCAAGAAGAATCTTAATATATGATAGTTGAGATTAAGGGAGGGTGTTAGACTTAGAGATAAACTTGTGTTGTAATCTCAACAAACTCTCTCTCCCTCTCGTTCATCTATCTATCTCTGTAACGACAGCCGTATCCACGCGATCGGTAAACTTGTAAGCCACGGCAGAGGCTTTCTGCCTTCGATCAATATATACCCGCGGCTCCCTTATGAGGGAGTAGGAACGCTTCCATCTGACACATATGACCATCGCGGATGTTCCTGATAGGTTATCACAGTTGATGCAGTCTGAATGTATTCCCCCACTTGAGTAATTCTTTTACTTGAGTTTCTAAAAAAAACTTCACCAGAAACGCAGTTGGAAAGATGCATCCTCTGTTTTGTTGCACACCGTGAAAACACCATTGAACTCCAAAAATACAGAGTGCTTTTCTCTGAAGGAATTCCCAATTATAAAGAATAGTGCCCTGAGTGGACTGACTATGAGTTCACTGAGAACCTTAAGTGCGGACTGAAACAATTCCTGAAAAAAAATCAAGGATTAATACCTTCAGTGTCGACTGTTAAAATTGCTGCACAAACGGAGCTAGAAAAATCCATCTGTTGTGATTGTATTGTACACCCCAAACATTGTATTGGACTCCAAACATTTGAGGGTGCTCAGAATCATTTTCAAGAAATTCCCAGAAAATCAAGTATAGATCATCCATGACAGAGACTTAAATTTGCAGGACAAATAGTGTTAGAATCATGCATTTCTTTTAATGCACACAGTACACCCGTGAACACAAAAATCTGGAAAAGGATTCCCAAAATCAAGCATTTTGTTATGTTGTGGTATCAGCCCCGGACAACACGGCCGGTCCCAAAAAATTGGAAGCGCCAACCAGATCTGCATTCGTTCTTAAAAATACAGCATCATTGCGGAATAATTTACTTATACAGTTTCACTCACGGGTTTCAGACTACAATCTCTTACAGCGAATCCAGTTCTATGTTTTGGCCCACTGGAACTTGCTGTAAAGGAGGTTCCCGAGAGTGAGACAATGAATTCATTCAGCGAGCAGCAAAAAATTCAGAATTGTCATGTTGAAAAGGCTGGAACAGAACAAGTGCATTAGACAGACAAGCAGGCAACGGATTCTTTCTTTTTCCTCGGCTGTTCAACTGCTTGAGTGAGCAACCTGTTCAACCTGTAACAAGAAAAATATAAGTAGTGTAAGAGGTGACGAACATGGATGGCGTGGGCAATCCCTCCAGTAGCACACAATTGTATGATTTTGGGGGTTATATTGAAAACATAACTGGGTATATGGTAGAAGTATACCTTAGAAAGATAGTACGTACTTAGTAATCAGTTCACATAGTCCCCATCAATTTTGACCTCCAGCTTGCTTGTTGCTAGCAATCTGCATTGTTCTGATAACTTGTCGCTGCACTTGTAGATTACCAGTTTTTCCAGCCAAGGTGGGAGGCCCGCATTGGGAAGCCCTGAGATTTGTTTACACCACCTGATCTCCAACTTCTTCATGGAAGGGAGGCCGCCCAGCCCTGCGGGAAGACGTACGAGACCCTTACAAGCATAAAAGCCGAGCTTTTGCAGGGAGCTGAGGAGCAGAAGCGCTCTCTCTTGCTCATCTGTTAGTCTCGTTGCATCCAAAAAAACAAGGTTTAGGCTTCGGAGGCAGGTGAGGCTCTTGCAGAATGACGTGTTAAGGGGAGATAACTCATCGATGTGGAGACTTTCCAGTGCAGGGAATAACTCATAGCCATGACTTGAAATCCCCTTAGCTGGCTCATAACTCTCCAGTGCGGTAAGGTAATCCATGGCAGTGGACCTGACTATTTCCAAATGCTTGAGGTTCACCAGGGATTGCAAGCCCTCTAGTGTGACGAGCGATCTACAGTACCAAATTTGCAAACGTTCCAGTGTTGTGCAGGAATGCAGCTGTAGTGATTCCAGACATTCACAGTCCATAATTGTCAATTCTTTCAAGGCCGTACAGGAATCCAGCTGTAGATATTCCAAAGTTTCGCTGTTTACTTCTAATTTTTCGAGGCGGGTGAGATTACCCACAAAGCAGGGCCGCAGAGTTTCTCGGGAATAATCAGACCAATCAAGATGTTCAAGTGATTGCGGGAGGAGACATCTTCCACTATATTGGCCGTCTTCCTCAACCTCCTCCTCAAGGGAAGTAAATCCAGCAAAGTGTTCCCTACTCCCGTCAAATATTAGATGAGGGCATCTACCAATTGTTATCTTCTTGAGATTCAACAGAATGTGCCCGACTCCATCTACAATTGAGATTGGCCATGCATCGGCAACATATCATGATAATGCTCGAACTGAGCTTCGCAATGCATTGTCTAGATACCCTGATGACGAAGCCTCAGAAGCCTCGATAATTTTTGATAGAACATTTCCTTCCTCTTCTATCTTGAACTGCGGGCAGTCATATAAATCCAATTCCTTCAGGGCCGGTGAATGTCGCAGCATCAGAGATAGCCACATCCCTGTTATTCCACATTTTTAATATAGAGACTTTCAAGAGACAGAAGAACGGCATCATTTGCAGTTATCATGTCTTCGTGGGTCTGCTCTGGCATAACATCTGAAGAGAGAAGTCTTTCACAACACACTATTTTTAAACTCTTTAAAGATATGAGCTGACTTAAACCTTTGAATGAAATAGATGTTAGGTTTCTGCATGATGATATCTTCAAGTATTTGATATCCTTAAGATTATGGAATGCCAAAAATTCGTCATCGAGTGTATGAGGCAAAATATCTCCGGTAATTTTGAATTTTCCCATGGAAGATCCCTCCATTGACATAATTGTTGAAACTCTGCAGATTGATAGTTCGGAAAATATGGCTGAAGGCGGAAGGGGAATTTGTACTTGCAAATGAGGACAATCCAACATAATGAGTTTCCTCAGACTGGGCAACCATGGCTTATCGTTAATTTCGTAGTTATGACCTTTCTGAAATAGATCAAACACCTCAAGTGCAGGGCAACGCTGGGTTTCCATCTCCCTTAAATTAGCCTTCATATCCTCCATGGAAGTACATGAACATCTCTGTAGATTTGTCATTCCATCTAATACCAGCTCTTCCAATGACGGAACTGATACTTCTCTTACTCTTTGCATGTTGCACAACTTCAACCTTTTAAGAAACCGAAGCATTTTCAGAGATGGAAGTATTATCCGTTCTCCACTGTCCTCCAGATGAACTGTATGCAATGACATCAGAAAAGCAAGATCCAACACTTGAAGATGGAAAAACATCCTCAAAACATGATGCAAAGCCTTCTGCTCAGTGTGACCATCTTCAAGTTTTAGATACCTAAGACGAGTAGGGTTTACCAAGCTACACAGAAAGGAATTAAAATCAGCAGATGTTGCAGACATTTGTAGCAGACGCAGATTATGTACTTCTTCAAACACATTTTGAAATGCTTTGAAGAAAAAGGGGTCATACTCCCCAATTAACACCAATGTCCTCAACTTTCTCACTGATGCAACTATATTTTGCAAGAAAAATTCAAACTTCTCATTACGAGGTATGTTCTCAATCTGATCATCCCTCTGATATACAGAATTGGTCAGTATGGACAAGTGGTGTACATTTGGCAAAACTTCACTGCATTGCAAACATCCAAAGTTGCACACTCAGTTCTTGAAACTAGCATTGCAAAATCATGCATCAGGCCACACATAGCATAGCAAGTTTGAGTTTGACTACCAAGAGAGGATCTTTTTCTTTCAACCTCTTCAAACAGGCCCAAGTTCACCAAGTCAGTCAGATAATACCGTCCAACCACCTCCAAACTCTTACTTGAATGATCAGGCTTCACAAATCCCTGTGAAATCCAAAGACGAACTAGCTCCTGATCATGAAATTCATAACCATAGGGGAATATAGAACAATATGAGCAACATTGTTGTACAAGGTAGGGCATCTCATCATAGGAAAGCTTCAAAGAAGACATGATGCCACCAGTGTGTTGTAGGGATTTCCAATCTTCGGTCATTAGAATGCTACTCCAATGATCCACAGTAAGACGATCTTTTAATAGTACCCCAACAGTTTGTGCTGCTAATGGGTTTCCTTTTAGCTTTTGTGCTATTATCTGTCCTATGTCACTTAGATTAGCTTGGGCTTCGTAATTCTCATCACCAAATGCACATGCCTTAAAAAATAGCCAGAAATCATCATTTTTCAAACCATTTAAGTTAATTGGTCCAATTGTACCTCTCTTTTTGGCAACAGACGGTTTTCTAGTTGTAAGAATTATCGTATTGCCATTTGCACCATCATCAGACTTGAAAGGAGCCAACAATTTGTTCCACCGGCAGTCATCCATGACTTCCCAGACATCATCTAAAATAAGTAGAACCCTCTTTGATTTAATATGACCCTTCAAGACCCCCTGAAGCTTGGTAAAACTGCATAGGCCATCATAAGTTTCTTGGGAGACGCAATCCAACATCTCTCTTGTTAGTCTCATTTCATCAAAGTCTTTAGACACCCAGATCCATATCTTGTGATCAAGTAGACTTTGCAAAGCTGGATCATTGTATACAAGCTGAGCGAGAGCTGTCTTCCCAACTCCCCCAATGCCGACAATAGGCAGAACAGTTACACCGGTAGTTGATTTGTGTTCTTTTATCAACTTTTTGATGGATCTCTCTTGAGCTCTCCCGTACACTTTCCCATGAAAAACACCTGATGTTCTTCGGCATGGATCTGAGATTGTAGTCTGACAGTGGCTTGAACTTGCACCAACAGAGTTGGACGGAAGTATCTTGAGAAGCCTTGTGATAGCCCCATGTTTCCCTTGCAGCTGACTAGTGATGTCTTGTATCCTTTCGGAAAGTGCGTCCTTGTTCCACCGGCCGTTTGGGTTAGGTGCAGTGATGTGTGTTGACTCCTGACCGGTTCTCATCCTTTTTCTGCTGCCAGTTACAACAGGCATTGGAATTGTAGCAGCATTGGCGGTGCTGCAATAAGAAATAAATCATGGATTGGCAGTGCGAATCTTAATAATACGCTCTTAACCAGACATATAAAAGAAGGCCCTCAAAAATGTTTTGGTGCAAGGCATTAAATAGTTTTGGTACCTTGAAGAAGGGTCACTGGCTCCACGTTTCTTGGCACAACCTTTGCTCTTGAGATGGTTGTGCAAAACTGACGTCCCCATTTTGGTTGTGCACATAACTTGTTTTTGACAGTGCTTGCATCTTGCTTTGGCAGGCCCTCCGTTTTGTTCAAACTCTGTGATTTCAAAGTGAATCCATCCCTCGAACCGCAACCTGCTATTACTGCTACTCTGTACATCAGCATTTTCACTAGATCTCTCAACTTGATGCGTCCCATGCCCGTCTGTTTCCAGCAGTGTCTCTACAAATAAGTCGACCAGATATTTAGCAACTACTAGAAAGCAAATACTTGGACCAGATATTCAGCAGACACCTGAGTTTAAATGCATCACCAAAATTACCTGGTTGGAGCTCCTGCTGGAGCCTGTAGCAGTCCAGCTCGTCGACCACGTCGTCGGCGTCGTAGAGCAGCTCCTTGACCAAAGCGAGAGATTTGGCCAGCGGCTTGTTCCTGGCTGCCCTCCCCTGCACAGCAGAGACCGTCATCTCCACTGCCTCGACCTCACACTTGAGCTTCTCGATGTCATTGCCAAGGCCAGATTGGCGGATCCAGGAGTCCAGCTTGCCACCGGCTATGAGATTTGCAAGGAGCTGATCCAGCCCACCCAATCGCGGCCTCCAGCATGGTGTCCTCCACCGTCTCCATCAGCGGATCCGGTGGAAGCAGCAGAAGGAGATGGCTAGGTGCGGTGTTCGATTTGGTAGCTCAGATAGGGGTTCAGATGCAGAAGCAGTGAGTGAGAAGTCAGAGAGTGGTTTAGAGGAAGAGGAAGGTTGACTTGAGAGACATTCAGATTAGTGCGAGGCCCCCTCAGTATCGTAGCCTCTTACATGGGCCATCATCTCAAGGAGCCCACTCTGCCCCATAATAAAATCTCCTATCCACCACTATGTTCCTCTGCTTTCATAATCTAAAAAAAAAGATGTTCCTCTGCTTTTGGAAATGATTTCGATTGAGCAACGAAGAAGAAAAGTTGGCCAAAATGCACCGTGAACGCAAAAATATAGGAACATGCATGGTAAATTAACCAGATTAATTACTTCATTACTCCCCTAAAAAAGCCACATCTGAACCAATATCATACCATAAGCTGGTACTTATAACTAATAACCAAAGCTCACTGACAAAGTAGATTAGTACTACTACATCGTAAAGAATAACCAAAGCTCATCGAACATCGTAAAGAATTACTCTCTCTCACACACACACACACATAGTTCATGCTCTATACAAAATGCCGAAGCCCCCAAGTGCAGCCACGAAGACCAGTGGGAGGATGGACACCCAAAGCACCGTCTTCCCGACGGCATGCCTCTCGTCCAGCTTGCCGGACACCCAGACACCGAGCAGCGCCTCCACGATCCCGAAGACCACCACGGCAATGAGCACGGCAAAGTAGAGGTAGAGAAGCCCCTTGCCGTGGTGGAGGAAGATACCCCCGGGTGCCTTGAACAGGAGGAGGCAGAGCGCCGCTGCGGCCTTGAGGACGCCACAGGAGATGAGGGCCCGAGGGAGGTTCTTCCGGTCCGAGAAAGCGCCGGAGATCAGGGTCACAATGTCCCTGATGATGGCCATGCTGGTGGAGAAGGGTTGTGGTTTTGCTGGAGCGTTTATGTCTGCGGAATGGTACAATGTTCGGCCTTCGGGGTATGTAATTATAGAGACCCGCATGAGCAGTGGCAACCCAAAGAGAAACCGAACAGCTGCTGGCAGCGCTGTGGAAAAGGCAGAGGATGGCGCCTAGTCAGCGAGCCCTCGGTCCCCTGCTTTGGTGCAGGAAGCTGCCGCAGAATTTCCACAAACCCGAAGTCCTGAACCGAACCCGGTCGGCACATTCGCCTCTGCTCTGTTACCTGCTTCTTATTTATGCCTTGAATCTCCCGGCATCCTTGTTTTTTGACGGTGCTATTGCGGGGTTACGGGCCTAAACTATTGCACTAATAAATCAAAGTATATTTACAACAGAGTTTGAGAGGGGCTGAAGAGTAGAGTATAAAATGTTGTAAAATGAACTCCCTTCAAACATAATATAAGACGTTTTTTAATATTGTCATGGAATCTATAAACGTCTTATAAAATGTTACTGAGGGAGTACTTGTTACTGCCCAGTCAATCTCTTTATAAGCAAGCCTAGTTCAAATATTAACATTCCATAATGCAACAATGGTATGCTCTCCAAAATGTACTGCTATCTCATTTTTGTGTTGCATATCAACATTTGACCCTGCCTGTTTATCACACTGGTTATCAGGATTTGGATTTTTCCCAACCTAGAGACTAATTTGCTCACACCCCTGCATAGCATTCCAGAAATAACTTAAGTGAAGAAACAAGATGTTCGGGTCGGTTTCGGATCGGATTCATGGGTTAAGTCAATGTGTCACATGTGTCACGTCGCTATCTTAATATAAACGAAAAAAAAGGGCAATTAGAACCGGGATTGACCGGTTTGTGGTTGCCACTCCTCTATTCGGGTTGGTCTGTTAAAGCACCAGTGAAGTTTTTTGAAGCAGCCATACATGTCTGTCAGCAGCAGCAGCTATTATCCAAGCTCAATACTATCTCAAACAAGTCACTGTGGACATACACAAGCTAATAGTTGTTTCAGATTTGGGCTTAATGCACAGACAACAGTAGCCGGTCAAATGCACGTTCAGTTTCCTAATAGTAGTTTCAGATTTTCGGTTTTTAGTTCCCCTTGCATATGGAGTGCGGTACCGAAAAAACTAGGCAACCGAGTATCCATCAATAATTCTCTACTGTACAAGACAAAGAAAATGTTCAGTTTGAATGAACACTATGATGATATTACTATTGAAAGGACATTTCTGGGTCAGATGAGGAGTCGTGATTGCAGCGCTAAGTATGCTTAGCATTCTATAGGTAATTAGTCTGTCCAGCCAACAGGCCAGTATAGTATTCTTCGGGTTCGGTTCGGATTCAAGTGGTGGGGCATCGCAGATAGGTAAAAGGTGCATTGGCGAAAATGACAAGCCCATGTGTGGCAAAGCCACCAAGGTCAGTGCATGATACTTAATTACCTATGGAATCTAGGAGCAAACCTGATCGGTTCCGTTCGGGTTAGGAACTCTGTGATGGTTTGTGGATGATTTTCCTGTTTCTGCTTCTATTATTCTTGAATCATGATGATGTTTGTGATGCCTGAATCATTCTTTGTGCTATTGGGTCTTCATGTTTTGCTCTTATTGAATCCTCCGTGACGGTGACCTTGGGCACACGAATGCATGCGAATGGAGCCATCTTTTGCTAAAGACTTCTTTTCCTCTCAAACTGATAGCAGAACCCGGTCCGAACCCGAATGCTCCTTGGCAACGCTGGACCATATAGTTGCAGTCACCCAATCCCAAGAGAGGAAGATGCTGTAGTGCCGTCCATCTTCGCCCAGCCCCACGTAATCCGAAGTTCCGAACCTGACCCGAATGTTACATTTCAGTTATCAGCTCCCCGGAGTTTGAGAAATGGACATAGAAAATATGTGAAGGTGTAAAGTATGGAAAGCATAGATGTGGAGGAGTTTGAGAAATGGTCAAAATTCTGGAAACATCAAATATTTGATGTTTTCAGGTTTTTGGTTGACTCCCCTTTTAAAAGAAAGGGAGTGTCTACTTATCAGTCAACTGATTTTGATTTGAGTCTATGTCAATTTTTTTTACCAATGGTGTGTTGACACGTGCATGCTCTTCGTTTTCAGTCCGTTTTGTGGAAATTTTCGTTGGAAGCTGAAGCAAACCGAACCGAATGAACCCGATTGGTGTAGTCGCGTCAGCATCAACGTCACCCTCTGCCCTGCTGAGAACCTAATAATAGTAGTAAACTACTTCCACTTCCCTGCTACCTACTGCTTACTTAGTCTTTGAACCCCTGAACATCTCTGCTACCGGCCTGACAGTATGGTTAAGCAAACGTAGTTCAAATATTTGTATTGCCAGATGCAGCATTATGTTTTCTAAAATGTACTCCTATCACAGTTGGTCCTGTTTATCATATGATAAACAGTATTTTGGAATTTTCCCATTGTAGAAACTAATTTTCCCACACCCCTGCTTAGCACTAAACGAATAAATTATGTCAAGAAATGAGATGTTCGGGTCGGTTTCGGGTTGGATTCATGGGTTAAGTCAATGCGCCATGTCGCTGTCTTAATCTAAACGGCAAAATGAGCAATTAGAGCAGGGATTTACCACGCGGGGTTTCCTCTCGGGTTCGGTTCGTGTTTGCCACTCTTTTGTTCAGGTTGGCCGTTATGAAGCACCAGTGAAGTTGTTTATAAGCTCCCATACTATCTACTCCCTCCGTTCGGAATTACTTGTCACAAAAATGGGTGTATCTAGACGTATTTTAGTTTTAGATACATCCATTTCCGAGACAAGTAATTCCGAACGGAGGGAGTAAAACACAAGGCACTGAAGATACTCAAGCCAATGGATTTGCTTCTCAGCATCTTTGGGCTTAATGCACAAACAACAGTAGCTATCAAATGCACGTTCAGTTTTCTAATAGTAATTTCAGAATTGTTTAAATTCTCCTTACACACGGAGTGAGCTAGCAAAAAACTAGGCAACCGAGTATTCATGACTAATTCTCTACTGTACAAGAAAAGGAAAATGTGCAGTTTGAATGAAATAACAGTATAATTAGTATGTCCTTCATGAAAATGTTACCTACGGAAGGACATTTCTCAAACTGCCAAGGATTGATGACTGCAGTGCTAAGTATGCTTAGCATTCTACGGGTAATTAATTAGAATGTTGCTGTCCAGCCGATAGGCCTGCATAAAGTCTTCGGGTTCGGTTTTATAATCTCAAAGAAAATTGTTCGTCTGCTTTTGGAAATGATTTCGATTGATCAACGAATAACAAAAGTTGACCAAAATGCATTGTGAACGCAAAAATATAGGAACTTGCACGGTAAATTAACCAGATTAATTACTTCATTACTCTTTAAGACATACTCCCTCCGTTCGGAATTACTTGTCTCGAAAATGGATGTATCTAGAACTAAAATACATCTAGATACATCCATTTCTACGACAAGTAATTCCGAACGGAGGAAGTAATTACTACTATTTCACATTGATCGAAAGCCACATCTGAACCAATATCATACTCCCTCCGTCCGGAAATACTTGTCATCAAAATGAATAAAAGGGGATGTATCTAGATGTATTTTAGTTCTAGATACATCCTTTTTTGTCCATTTTGATGACAAGTATTTTCGGACGGAGGGAGCACTAAAATAACTAAAGCCCACGGACAATCAGTAGATCGTCGTAATGAATAACCAAAGCTCATCGGACGACACCCTAATTAAGATTACACGAGGAATCACACACAGTTCACGCTCTATGCAGAATGCTGAAGCCCCCAAGTGCAGCCACGAAGACAAGAGGGAGGATGGACAGCCAAAGCACCGTCTTCCCGACGGCGTGCCGGCCGTCAGGCTCGCTGGACACCCAGACGCCGACCCACGCCTCCACGATCCCGAAGACCACCACGACGATGAGGACGGCGAAGTAGAGGTAGAGAAGCCCCCTGCCGTGGTGGAGGAAGA